CCTCTCTCTATATCCCTCTGTTCCCCAGTCTGTCCCCTCTCTCTATAGCCCAATGTTACCCAGACTCTCCCCTCTCCTTATTGCCCACTGTTCCCAGTCTGTTCTCTCTCTCTCTATCCCACTGTTACCCAGCCTGTCCCCTTTCTCTATATCCCACTGTCCCCCAGTCTGTCCCCTCTCTCTATATCCCATTTTTCCCCTGTCTGTCCCCTCTCTCTATAACCCACTGTCCCCCCATCTGTCCCCTCTTTCTACATCCCACTGTTCCCCAGTCTGTCCCCTCTCTCTATATCCCTCTGTTCCCCAGTCTGTCCCCTGTCTATATCCCACTGTTCCCCAGTCTGTCTCCTCTCTCTATATTCCACTGTTCCCCATTCCGTCCCCTCTCTCTATATCCCTCTGTTCTCCAGTCTATCTCCTCTCTCTGTATCCCACTGTTCCCCAGTCTGTCCCCTCTCTCTATATCCCTCTGTTCCCCAGTCTGTCCCCTCTCTCTCTATATCCCACTGTTCCCCAGTCTGTCCCCTCTCTCTCTCTGTCCCACTGTTCCCCAGTCTGTCCCCTGTCTCTGTATCCCACTGTTCCCCAGTCTGTCCCCTCTCTCTCTATATCCCACTGTTCCCCAGTCTGTCCCCTCTCTCTCTTTCTCACTGTTCCCCAGTCTGTCCCCTCTCTATTTCCCACTGTTCCCCAGTCTGTCCCCTCTCGGTGGAGGGTTCGGGGTGGGGTAAGAGGTGGGGTTTTGGGGAATGTGCTGTCGATGCGTGAGTCGCTGCGGTGGGTCTTGTAGATGGTACACACTTCTGCGGCTTTGCCTGGGGAAGGAGGGAGTGTTGGAGTTGAAGCAGGGTCTGGGGTTTCAGAGTGTTGACCACGCTGGGTAAGGGGGTGTGGGGGTGCTTTGTCCCTGGGACAGTGTGGACTTTCCCGAATGTTGTCAGAGCTGCCCCCCCCATCCAGGGCAGGTGGGTACTATCCCCTCCCCCCTCCTGCCTTGTGGATGGTAGAACAGGCTTTGGGTCATGTGTGTGGGGTTGGGGTTTCAGGACGGGAGTTACTCGCTACAGAATTCCCAGCCTCGTCCCTGCTCCTGTAGCCAGAGGATTGATGTGGGGCTGGGGGTCCAGGACAGTCTCTGCTCAATGGGGACCTCCAGGATGTCGGTATTTGGGTGGGAGGGGTAGGGAGGGTCAGTGATGGGGACCCAGGATGTGGTATTCGGGGGCGGTAGCAGGAGGGGTCCCTGTGAAGGAATGGATTCAGGAACGGGAACACCCAGGACGTTGACGTGGTTTATGTCAATAACTTCTCGTTCATGTAGGTGACTCAGGCGGACCTTTTACAATCAAAATTAGACAGAGATGGATCCAGGTAAATACAGCGTCTTTCTTACACACTCACTCACACTCTGTCTCACACACACTCTCTCTCACTCACTCTCTCACATGCACTCTCTCACACTCACTCTCTCACACTCACAGTCTCTCACTCTCTCTCTCACTCACTGTCTCACACTCACTCTCACTCACACTCTCTCTCACACACACTCTCTCACTCACTGTCTCACACTCACTCTTTCACACTCACACTCTCTCACACACACACTCTCTCTCTCACTCTCTCTCTCACACACTCTCATTCATTCTCTCTCTCACACGCACTCTCATTTCCCTCACACTCTCTCTCACACACTCTCTCACACTCACTCTCTCTCTCACTCACTCTCTCTCTCACTCACTCTCTCTCTCACACACACTCTCTCACTCACAAACACACTCTCTCTCTCACACACATTCTCTCTCTCAATCGCACACACGCTCTCTCACTCACAAACTCTCCTTCTCTCACACTCTGTCTCTGACACACACACTCTCTCTCACACACATTCTCTCTCACACACACTCTCTCACACACACACTCTCTCTCTCACACTCTCTCTCTCTCTCACACTCTCTCTCTCTCTCACACATTCTCTCTCACACACACACTCTCTCTCTCACACACACACTCTCTCTCACACACACTCACACTCTCTCTCACACACACACTCTCTCTCACACACACTCACTCTCTCTCTCACACACACTCTCTCTCACACACACACTCTCTCACACACTCTCTCACACACATACTCTCTCTCTCACACTCTCTCTCTCTCTCACACTCTCTCTCTCTCTCTCACACTCTCTCTGTCTCACAGACACTCTCTCTCACACACACACTTTCTCTCATGCACTCACACACACACTCACACACATACAGACAAATGAACATTAAGACAATCAAACACAGAGGGGTTTAGGTCCATTGGTGCGGTGTAGAGCGCGAGTGAACGGGAAGGGGTTTGGGGTCCATGGGGACGGTGTAGAGCAGGAGCGAACGGGAAGGGGTTTGGTGTCCATGGGGACGGTGTAGAGCGGGAGTGAACGGGAAGGGGTTTGGGGTCCATGGGGAT